TCGTAAAACGTCTGACGCACTGCTTCAAGTATTCCCACAGTCTTATAAGCGCTAACATTCACTTTTTAATAAAAAAAAAAACGAATAAATTGACGAGGTGTTACGGTGAACCCTCTCCAACGTCTTAACGTTGTAACCGTTATCTTGTTTACATTGTCCGCATCAAAAGGCCGGCCTAAACGGGCTCCCCCGCTCGCACCCCCCATCACGCCACGCATGCATCCGCATGTACCCACCGACATCCAAGAAGCTCCCGTATGGTACACGCGAGAGATTTATTACTTTGTTAGGACGTTGCCGCTTGTGGCATGTCACAAGAAATACCTGCCGAAGTGCCGAAGACGCTCGTGTGTCCTTTAAAGAAAACTGTGTTCTTCTTGCGCGGTCTGACGACCAAATGTCCAGTTTCGTATACTTGGGGAAAATGCAATAGCTCTTTTCTGAATAAAATTTTAAACAATTAAGCTTCAAGGAGACATGGGAGTTTTGCGCTCCATGACCGTTGAAATTATATGCTGATTGTTCAGTGGTATGGACTACAACTTGCTGCAACTTTTGAGATTTTGGCAACCTTGACGTCATACTGAAAATTCGTAACAGTATGGTAAGAGCTTTTTTGCTCTGTTCTGTTTTGGAGCGTCCGAGGAAAAAAAGGTGATAATATGAATTAACCCTTTTCATGGCTACAGTGAGGCGACGAACAATATGGAATTGGAGACCGAGGCTTGAGGACCATGTATCCGTCAATTAAGAGCTCTGTGACTTAGTGCTTGTACCGCTGAACCTTTGTTTCCGCGTTTCATGATAAGACTTTTTAGGTAGGTAATCACAAAAATAATCCATCCCCTCAAAACTAGGTTTGGAGTAGGATTAAGGGAATATACTTTTAAAAAATATGAACCGAAGCATTTTGATTTATTTAAACTTAGTCAGAAATTCTCTGACTAGGTCGGTACAACAGCCGAATTTTGTTAATATTACCTGCTTATGGTTTGTCTTACGCTGAAACTCATTCTCAATTTTAATGATGTTAATAATTTAATGTTTAGAATTGTCAATTACGAAGTGGACGTTTGGCATATCGTGGATTTACGCATACTGCCTGTTTCGTGGATCCACGCACGGTGTTGTTCATCCACAGTTTGCCATTTACACCCACGAAAGTTTGTGTAATACTGTGGACAAATGAAAAAAAAAAAATTATACAGCAGTGTCTATGGATAAATAGCATGCCGTGGATTCACGCAAAAACCATTTCGTAGATCCGCGACACGCCGTGGATCCACAAACGGTGGAAAATGAACTGTTACCTTTTTTCTTTTTCTTTTCTTCTTTTAAAAACAAAACAAAAAAAATTATCTCTTTCCTGAAACGGCCAAAATAAGCAACAATAGAGATGAAAACATATGATGGGCATACGCACTGCAAAAATTGATGAATTGCAGGGTGAGCAGGCTAAACCTGCGCATATCAGTCCAACTGCGAAAAAATTAAATGAGTAATTATGAGTAATGTAGTGAGTAATTGTTCGAGATATCGCTTAGAGATCAGAAACACACGACCATTACGAAAATTAGCGTACATTTTAGATTCCTTCGGGGCGACTCTGGATCCGATAGATCTGAAATAAACTTTCAGCAAACTGGAGCCCACCGCCCTTCCACTGACAAGGACAAGGTACTCGGGTGAATGAAATATGTAGACAATTCTTCGTTGAAGCAGTAACAGGTCGGCGCGTTGCGAACTACGAACGATGGTTTAATTTGAAGCGCTACGTGGTGGAATTTTTGTGAACTAAATTGACAATCCATCTTAAAACGCCTGCAACTTAGGCTACTAGAGAATCTTCTAATGTAGAAGAAAATTAGAGCCAATATAGAAGATAACCTTCTCAAGGTCAACCGGAGGAATCCGGAGCTTCTCAGCGATCTCGTAGAAGATAAAAACGGTGCCGTTGGAAAAAAAAATAGCAGCTAAATCTTCTTCTGCAATACATTGGAGTAATAGGCAAAAATAGAAGAAAAAATATCAGATAAACTCGGTCTACACCCGGGTTTTTACTTCTAAATTTCGGTATACAGTGGCAAAAATAGAAGAAAAATGTTACATGCGGCCGGCCGGCCGCGGCGCGCCCCGCGGGTCCATAGCCTCACGTCGTTATTGGGCCGTTTGTGACCTTACGCTTCAAGATACGCCAAAACGGACGAAATTTCCGCCCTTAGAACCGTAACTTGCAATTTTCCTTTAGAATTAATATGTCACCTGCCAAAATTTTTGAATTTTGGGTTTAGGCCCTTTAGGCCCTTTGAGGCACGGGTTAAAAATTTTTTTAAATTTTTTCCTTTTAGGGGGTTAATTTAGAGACTACATAGAAACTTTTTAGGGGTTGACCAACTTGATTTTCGCAAAACTCAAAAATAAGGTACGCCCTAGAGTTCTTTCATTTAAACTCGCACGATGGTCAACATGATGCCGACCGCTGCTATTCGCTGCACAAGTGAAAATGTCGGAAAATTCTTGGTTTACTCTTCCCAGAACACCTGAAGCGTCATCTCATGCAATTTTGAAGATGATTGCACGTTTTTAAGTTGGGCTCGTACCCATTTTCATGGGATGGAGTACGGAGTTCTTTCATTTAAACTCGCAGAATGGTCGACATGATGCCGACCGCTGCTATTCGCTGCACAAGTGAAAAACTCGGAAAATTCTCGGTTTACTCTTCTCACAACACCTGAAGCGTCATCTCATGCAATTTTGAAGATGATTGCACGTTTTTAAGCTCAATTGAGCTCGCGTTAGGATAAGCACGGCATCGAACATAGAGTACATAGAGTCGTAATGTAAATGGGAGAGCTGGCGCCTTGTTCTGCTCGACGAGTTCCGCGCCCGATGTGTGATGAGTTCGGGTCACTGTTTCGATACATGTTCGATCCAAAATGGCGGTGTGGAATACGTGGTGATTCCTATCTCCTTTGTTTACATCGGATGACCGAGTACCCGTGTATCGCAAACAATCGATCATGTATCGAAAAAGTGGCCTGGCGTCACACAGGAGTCTCGGGACCTAGAAAATGCTTAAACTTTGTACTCTGGATTTTTCATCATGCTCCGACCAGTTGCCTTGGATTCATTATTTAAAGCGCGATTATAATATTATCGGATTGAGTTCCAGGTTCTTGTTCAGGGAGCCCGGCGTAGGAGCATCAGTCTGCATCAGTCCGAGAGCTCAACACTTTTTTGTGACAAACTCAGGACACAATTTTTGACCACTTAAATCTGAACTGACACGGAAAATGGTTGTCTGCCACGCGTTGGCACAATCCACACCGTGGCCAATGCTCATTAGGGTGTTTCAAAAATAACTTTTTTTGAAAACCTTTTGCTCCACTCAAAATTCCTGGTGCTACTCGACCTAATTAACATGAATTTCTGTTTAGCCTCGCACATTTCTTCGTGGATCTCATGTTGGAGATGTGCGATTATTAATCTGACAACGCAGCATCTACGCCACACTCCGAAAACCGATAAAACAGACGCACCCTTCAAAACTTTACGAGGGCTCGCGACCCCTTCGTTCACACGATGCAATCCCTCGTCTTTGACTTCAGTCAGTTCCTATTATTATTTCTGGCCCATTTCAGAAACAACGTTTATGCCATTGGTTTCCATATGCAGATATGTGCTTTTATGGAGGATCCAGGTATAGTGGTTCCTTATTGCAAAATGTAATCCACTTAAAGGAAGGTTTTGCAACCGATCACTTGTCTCCCTGATAACTGATGATTATGTTTTCAAGTGCGTAACACACGTTTTTTGCCTTTACTTCAATAAAATGGAGAGGTCTCAATACCATACTTTCAAAATTTTCTCATCAAATCCCTCCCTTTTTTAAAGGACTTAATCCAATCTCCAATTTTAATTCGTTTCATCTTCGTACTATCTTTCAATGTTTTGTCCTCTTTTTGTGATCTCTGCTCTAAGTGTTCATGGCCCAGCTTTGCTGAGACACCTTAAATGTATAAAACAAACGAACAAACATTCTTTTTGTTCTTATTTTTTTGTACTTTATCGGATTTCTTTTCATGCTTCGGCGGATTCCCAAACTTGCTCCGAATATTTTCGTTTCTTCTTCGGACGTTCTATTATTAATCGCGGAATAGCGCCCTCCCCCCCCCTTCCTCGCATTTTTTCTCTCTGTGTACAGCGATCGCACCCAGAATGCACGCTGCTGATCTACCTTAATAACTTTTTCTAATCTTCAATATTAAGTGGTGAACCGCGCTCTTCGCAACTTCACCGAAAAAAAATCTCGGTGTATTTACTAAGAAAAGGGTAAAATTTAACAAGAATTCAGGGTTCTATATGATCCCAGTTTTTTCTTGGTAAAATTACCATTTATGGAATTGGTAATTTCCCCGAGAAATCTCGGTAAAATTATTGAACTTTCTCGGTAATTTTACTGGACCTTGGTAAAAATGCCAATATTTTTTATCGACTGTGGTAAAATTACCGGGATAAAATGGCAAAGTTACCGGGGATTGATTACCGATAAAAGTGGTATTCTTACCTGAAAAAACAGTAAAAATACCGGTTTTTAGGTAAGCTTACCAGTCTGTCTTGGTAAAATTACCAATAATTGGTAAAAAAAAGTGCGAGATGGTAAAGGTTCCAACGGACCTCGGTAAAAACGCCGAGAATTTTTTTTCAGTGCGTGGCGGATTCGCAAACCTGCTCCGAACATTTTCGTTTCTTCTTCGGACGTTCTATTAATAATCGCGGAATCGCGCCCTCCCCCCCCCCTTCCTCGCATTTTTTCTCTCTGTGTACAGCGATCGCACCCGGAATGCACGCTGCTGATCTACCTTAATAACTTTTTCTAATCTTCAGTATTAAGTGGCGAACCGCGCTCTTCGCAACTTTCGCCGCGACGCGGCATCGCTGCTGTTTCTCCCTCTCAAAGCGCCACGTTGCGTCTGTCGCGTCGTCAGACCACTCGCCTCCCAGTGCTGACGCTCTCAGTCAGGGCCAAGTTCTCTCGGTTCGCAGACCGTAGTTACCATCGCCGGAGCGCAGTTTTCACAGAGTCTCTAATGCGCATCAGCGCAATTCTTTAATTTAAGTGAAAGTGCGACGGTCACATCGATCACCAGACCAGCCAGGTTCCTGTTTCGCGAACTGGTTGCATCACGCGCGCTCTTCGCGATCCCTCGTGAAACTTTCGGTTGAAACGATTTTTCGGACCGCCCAGATATTTCAGACCGCCGCCATTTTGAACTGGACCGTATGTGATTGTGATAGCGCGTGACGATTGCCTTCAGCGCGATATTCTTTGATTCGAGTGACACAGCGGTTTTTTTCGCGATCCTCGGTGGATATTTTCGATCGGAACGATTTTTCGGACCGCCTGAATATTCAGTTGACCAATTCTATATTTTCAAGTGATTTTGGTCTCTCAATTTGACCATTGCGAGCCCAATCAGCTAAGCAAATCTTTAATTCAAGTGATCCTTGGTGGATATTTTCGATCGGAACGATTTTTCGGACCGCCTGAATATTCAGCTGACCAATTCTATATTTTCAAGTGATTTTGGTCTCTCAATTTGACCATTGCGAGCCCAATCAGCTAAGCAAATCTTTAATTCAAGTGATCCTTGGTGGATATTTTCGATTGGAACGATTTGTCGGACCGCCTGAATATTCAGTTGACCAATTCTATATTTTCAAGTGATTTTGGTCTCTCAATTTGACCATTGCGAGCCCAATCAGCTAAGCAAATCTTTAATTCAAATGATCCTTGGTGGATATTTTCGATTGGAACGATTTTTCGGACCGCCCGAATATTCAGTTGACCAATTCTATATTTTCAAGTGATTTTGGTCTCTCAATTCGACCATTGCGAGCCCAATCAGCTAAGCAAATCTTGAATTCAAGTGATAGGTATACCTAGCAAATACCGTTTGCGCCCCAGCTCAATACCTAATCAGAGTAAATTCTCAGTTCTCCAGTCCTCTCATCAAAGGTAAAGTTCTGCTCGTTTTTATTTTGATCATCCATGTATGTGTACCCGTCTCTATCCTCCGAGGGAACGAAGGGTTATGTTTTGTTTAAAAGTCTATCCTCATTTACCTATTTTAGTAGAAATATCAAACTGAAAAATATAATTTAGGCAGACAACTTTTAATAATTGACCGTGTGAATCTGGAATACCCAGATTGACCAAGATTTCCTTTCTTCCGTTCACGTGGTCCAAATCGTCGCTGTGATGTAACGATAACGACGTATATCTCGATTTCCGGATGGCGTGGCGTGCTTTGCTATAGATCGATTGATCGACCATTTAAACCTATGGAAAAGTATCGGAAAACCGGGTATTCGCAGCGAACACCTTAATAATCGATTATTTACCACAGCTTCAAATGGGGAAATATCGATAGATCGCAAAGCATGGATTTCAGTGGCGTGCTTTGCGATATATCGATTGATAGACCATTTAAACCTATGGAAAAGTATAGGAAAGCAGGGTATTCGCAGTATGAAGGGCCGTTTGTAACTAAAGATACGAATGTTGGCAATATATAAGAAATGGTGTAATATATGAAATATTCAAGATATATATGAAATTTTGAAATATATATACGAAATTGTCGCAATATTCAAGAAATGTGTCAATATTTAGGAAATCGACTCCAAAAAATGTGGCGAAAATTGTGCAATATATAAGAAATCGACTTCACAATATATATGGCGAAATTCGTGCGATATAGGTACAGGGTACCTAATCCATAAGTCCTTTCCATCCCCTCTAAACTTTTACCTAATTGAGGCAAAGATTTGAAACTTGGGGGATGTTCTTAGGTTAAAGGGAGCTACTTTCTGGCCCCCTAAAATTATCCGGGGAACCCTAAGGGGGGAGAAGGGATGGAAACCAATTATTTTTTCACTTGAGAAGACCCTTTTTGTTGTACCTTGTTCGAAAGAGCATCAAAAAATGAAACTTTTCGGGTAAACCAGCAAGTCAATATCTCAAACCGTTTCAAAATGGCGTTCGGTTAAAATTCAAGATGGCCGAAAATTGACACCGATTGTTTGTCAATGGATTTGCGCAAAAATCGGCATCGACGGGTATTTTGTCAGGAGTAAAACGAATTTGAAGTTAGATTTCTAAAAAAAAAAAAAAAAAAAAAAAAAAAAAAAAAAAAAAAAAAAAAAAAAAAAAAAAAAAAAAAAAAAAAAAANAATTTTTGGCCATTTTGGAAATTTGTTGTTTTTTTAGAAAATCTAACTTCAAATTCATTCTTCTCCTATCAATATACCCGTGGATACCGATTTTCCCGCAAATCCATTGACAAACAATCGGTGTCAATTTTTGGCCATCTTGAATTTTAACCGAACGCCATTTTGAAACGGTTTGAGATATTGACGTCTGGTTCACCCGAAAAGTTTCCTTTTTTGATGCTCTTCCAAACAAGGTACAACAAAAGGGGTCTTCTCAATTGAAAAAATGATTGGTTTCCATCCCCCCTTCCCCCCTAAGGATTCCCCGGAAAATTTTAGGGAGCCAGAAAGTAGCTCCCTTTGACCTAAGAACATCCCCCAAGTTTCAAATCTTTGCTTCAATTAGGTAAAAATTTAGAGGGGATGGAAAGGACTTATGGATCACCCTGTGTATCGCACGAATTTCGCCATATATATTGTGAAGTCGATTTCTTATATATTGACACATTTCTTATATATTGCACGATTTTCGCCATTTTTGGAGTCGATTTACTAAATATTGACACATTTCTTATATATTGCGACAGTTTCGTATATATATTTCAAAATTTCAAATATATTTTGAATATTTCATATGTTACATCATTTCTTATGTATTGCCAACATTAGTATCTTTAGTTACAAACGGCCCTTCATATTCGCAGCGAACACCTTAATAATCGATTATTTACCACGGCTTCAAATGAGGAAATATCGATGGATCGCAAAGCATGGATTTCAGTGGCGTGCTTTGCGATATATCGATTGATAGACCATTTAAACCCATGGAAAAGTATCGATAAACAGGGTGTTTGCAGCGAACACCTTAGTAATCGATTATTTACCACGGCTTCAAATGAGGAAATATCGATGGATCGCAAAGCATGGGTTTATATGAAAGACGGGGCTCACGTGGGAATCGAGTTACGCCTTTACGCGAGAGGGGCTTCGATACATCGGAGCCGTTTTTGGTTTTGTTCGTAAAATCTGAACCTAAGTAGGACTCTACTTAGTAGAGTCCCTTTGCACTGAGAGTAAAGACAAAGCGAATCCATTTCTGATTGGTTCCCGTATTTCAAGCCTGGTCATGCGTAAAAACACCTATCTGCGAAGGGAAACTAATAGCACGGGTGTTATTTCTGAAATGAGCCAAAAACTGTAGTCCGTAATTGAAAATGCAGTCCATTTGATTCTCTTTCCAATTAGGCGAGACATAAAACTCAAATGAATGATGCAAGGAAGAGGGGATGTATCTGCTTTGCGAGTTCAACTCACGATGACTTATGGTAATTCGTCAAGCTTAAGTAACGCGGTCGAACTGGACTGCATTTTGCAATTTGGAACTTTAAATTCTGGCCCGATTTAAAAACAACCTATGTGCCATTAGTTTCCCTATGCACATAAGTGTTTTTCCAGAAGAGCCAGAATTTATAGTTCCAAATTGCAAAATGCAGTCCAACTGGCATGCGATACATCGCTAAAATGTAATAGGAATCACAAAATAGATAGATAAAAGTTACTGCAATGCAAATTTTAAGAGGCTTGTTCCAATGGCGCATTTCAACTCATGAACAATTTTACCAAGACAGACTGGTAAGCATACCTAAAAACCGGTATTTTTACTGTTTTTGTCAGGTAAGAATACCAATTTTATTAGTAATCAATTCCCGGTAACTTTGCCATTTTATCTGGGTAATTCTACAACAGTCGCGATGGCGATTTACCGGGGTCTAGTAAAATTACCGAGAAAGTCAATAATTTTACCGAGGAATAGATGGGTCGATGTAACAAATTAGGGTTTTGCACTGAAAAAAAATTCTCGGCGTTTTTACCACGGTCCGTTGGTACCTTTACCATCTCGCACTTTTTTTACCAATTATTGGTAATTTTACAAAGACAGACTGGTAAGCTTACCTGAAAACCGGTATTTTTACTGTTTTTTCAGGTAAGAATACCACTTTTATTGGTAATCAATTCCCAGTAACTTTGCCATTTTATCTTCGTAAGTCTACCACAGTCGATAAAAAATATTGGCGTTTTTACCAAGGTCCAGTAAAATTACCGAGAAAGTTCAGTAGTTTTATCGAGATTTCTCGGTAAAATTACCAATTCCATAGATGGTAATTTTACCAAGAAAAAACTGGGATCAAATAGAACCCTGAATTCTTGGTAATTTTACCCTTTTCTTAGTAAATACACCGAGATTTTTTTTTCAGTGAAGCGAATCCGAGCGTTTACCTTGGAACATAAGTTATTGCACTACTGTACTGCCATGGCAAGGAAAGACGCCGTATGAACATACGGGAGTTGCCAAATTTCCCCGGATAAAGCATGTATTTTCGAGACAAGTTCCGCATGTTTTTCCTCGAAATTTCCAGATATTTTAGATTAAATCGCGAACAAAATTGACTGAATAATTTGAGGAAGAAATATTCACAATTTTCTCAGCAAATGCGGTTTTTCTTGAAGGAAATATGCCAATGTCTGAAGGCTCATACTGCCGCGCTCTGGAAAAACGCCGTATGAACATTCGAGAGTTACCAAATTCCCCTCCATAAAACGCATGTATTTTCGGCGCAATTTAAGTATATTTCCCTTGAAATTGTCAGATATTTTAGATCGAATTGCGCACAAAATTGTCTGAAAATTTTGAAAAAAAATATTTATAACTTTTCCAATTGATTTGGTTTTTATTAAAGGAAATTTGGCAACTCTTGAAGGTTCATACGGCGTTTTTCCCTAGCACGTCAGTATAGGGCGTTCTTCCTTAGTCGGCAGTATGGCGTCCTTGCAGCATCACAAAGTTGGCCGAAACCCGCCTTGGGTCGCCAGCCGAAAAACCCCCAAATTATGCTAAACGTCGCAACACCACATCATAGCACCCCACTCTCCGACTTGGCTCCACCAATGAGCCAACTTTGGGGGTTGGCCCTCGAGGGTGAAACCGGGGGGAGCGCGAGACGCCAGGAGCTGGATCCCTCTCGATTTTGGACCAGTCGAGTCTGTGCTCGGGGCTGTGTGGTCGTTCTGTGGTGCGTACATCTTCGACACGTAAGTTTTTCCTTGTTACCGTGATATTTTCGATGAAAAATGAACCCCGTGCACTGAAAAAAAAATCTCTGTGTATTTACTATACGAAAAGGGTAAAAATAGCAAGAATTCAGGGTTCTATTTGATCCCAGTTTTATCTTGGTAAAATTACCATTCATGGAATTGGTAATTTTACCGAGAAATCTCGGTAAAATTATTGAACTTTCTCAGTAATTTTACTAGACCTTGGTAAAAATGCCAATATTTTTTATCGACTGTGGTAGAATTACGGAGATAAAATGGCAAAGTTACCGGGAATTGATTATCAATAAAAATGGTATTCTTACCTGAAAAAAACAGTAGAAATACCGGTTTTTAGGTAAGCTCACCAGTCTGTCTAAGTAAAATTACCAATAATTGGTAAAAAAGTGAGATGGTAAAGGTACATACCAATGGACCTCGGTAAAAACGCCGAGAATTTTTTTTCAGTGTGCTGTTTTCCAGGAGGGCCGGAAAAAATGAGCACCAGACAAATCAGCCAATCAGTGACGATTCGTAAAAGTAGGGGGCACCACTCGGCGTTTGTTTTCTCTTTGAAAATCAAGGGAAGTTTGGGAATTCGTGGGAGAAGGCTAGGAATTTATGGACGCATCTAATCACTGATCTTCCGACTGATTTTGCCTCCGCGGTATGAAAATATGGCAAACTCAATTCCGGTGGTTTGGCTTATTTTCT